CAACAACCCAATTTTCTTATTCTGTACTTAAAGTATAAAATATTCTTATACAAAAACTTTAGTGAATAATTTGTGTTTTTTTCTTGAACGGCACAAACATTGTGACTAATTATCAAAACTTATATTAATTATGTAAAAATTCTAATTAAGTATAGATATTCCCAAAAATAATGATATAATGAAAAATAAACTTTTATTTTGCAAATCAGACAACATAATAATTTTATTTTCGCTCCAAATTAAATTGTAATAGAGTACCTATCCGTATACTTTCAAAAAATATTGGTAATTTGGTGACAAACGCGATTAAGCAAATAAACTTATTTCTTAATCTAAAAGTATTATGTGTACTTGAGATATTTTTGATAAATTTCGTAAACATTAACGTATAAGTATCGTAAACGTTATAACAATCACCTGTACAAAAATTATAACAAAAAAAAAAAGAAAAAGGTTATTATCAAAAATCGAAAACGATTAGTAAAAAAGTTGAAAATAAACAACAATATTTTAATGAGAAATTATTTCAAAAGTGGATTGATATGACAATTATAACAGATAACATAAAATGTAAAAATTTTAACCGATAAAAGTTGAAGTATGGTAGTAATCACAAATTAAATGAAAATAAAATATTTTTAAATTGTATTTTAATGAAATTGCAAAACTTTAAGAGAAGAAAATACAAAACGAGTTTTATTTACCTTCGAAAATTTTCACAATCAAAAAATAAAATCCAAAACGCATTAAATTACTATATTTTACGATATGAATCTGTTTACTGTTGTACCTATAAGTTTTCAATAAAATTGATGACTTCATAGTCATGTCATACCAGTGGTGCATAGTAGCATAGTAGTATATTAGGTTAATCCCGATTAAAAATAAGCTTCACATCCGAAAATTTAAATAGTATCAATAACTGTTATACTAGTACTATCGTTGATTAGTATAATTTAAAAAAAAAAAACATTAAAAAGTTAGAAGAAAAAAAATTGTTTTTTTTTTTTTAATTGAAAACCAGTTTTGTTCAACATTTTTAAAATTAATTTCAAATTTTTTTTTACACATTTTCTAATCCAAAATTCATACTAGAATATTTTGTACAAAAATATACGATACGTATATATACGAGTATAATATATTAGATATTTTTTAATAATATTATAATTTTGTAAATTAGTTTTGAGAAATTGAATAAAATCGGAATTAATCGAAAATCGGAAAATTGTACGGTGATTCGCGTTATTCATATAGCAATTAAAGTAATTCAAGTTTTCCAAAATCAATTTTATCTTAAAATATTTAATAATAACCAAAATTTATTCATATTTTCTTAAAATAAAACAATTCATTTCCGAAACACAATTTTTAATTCCACAATTCAGCAATTCAAACTTATAAGAATTTTATATTCCTAATGCCGCGTAACTTCAATTTTAGCAAATAAGAGAACTAATTATTAATTATAAATTGATATTATCGTAATTGCACATTACAATATTATACAGTATCTAGCAATATAATAAAACAATGCAATTATACATACATACATGCATATACAACAAAACCACATTTAAATGGCATTAAAAAATTAATTCATAAGTATTAAGGTGATTATTTTATTAAACTTTAAAATCTATAGGTAAAAAAAATTTATTATTTCTTCCAGGAAAAAAAATAAAATCAAATCACAAAGTACAAAGTTTTCATTTATAATGAAATTTAATGAAAGAAAGATTATATTAAACAAGTATTGTTACACCTACAATATCTTATAATATAATATTATAAAAGTCATTATAATATTGTTTAGTTATAGAATTTAAATAAATTAAAATTATTTACAATGACAATTATATTTTATTTGCATGTATGTGTTTGTTTATTGCATACTGACCATTTGTGCTTTTAACACAAAATACTAAGAAATTGTGCATATTAATAGACAAAATTAAATTATTTTTTTGTAATTAAATTAGATACAAGTATATTAAGTTGTTCAACAGTAATAAGAAATTTCTCTCCATAATATTATTATGCACAATAAATGTTATTTTTATTGTAACATATAAGTAGTTGATTTATAATACACTCACCTATATTTTCTCTATCAATATTACAATATTTTTAAACTTCAGAAATTTCTATAGCGGTAATTTGAGTTTACAAACAATATAAGATGTCAAGTATGTGCGAAACAATGTCAAGCTCACCATATTAACTTGTCATTTTAATTGTCAACAAAATTGTCACTATTATACAGCGGCAAGTAATCTTATAATAATGATCTATTTTTTACGCCATTTCTCAAATTCATGATCTTTTTTAAAAATATTTCAAATATAAAGAATTTTTCATAAAAAAAATATCAATTTTCATAATAAGTCTGGCTACCAAATCTAAAAATTTTGATAGTATTTCTAAGTAAATATTAAAACAATTCATATACACACATTCATACATTTTTGCGTATGTAGAGTACTTTAGGTACTTTAAAAATTTTGTAACATAATTGAGGCGCTTATCACATTAGTGGTTTACTTGTAAAAATGGCATTTTGAGTAAATTGCGATTGAAATATTTAATTTTTAAGAATATTTTTAAAAGACAAAAACGAAATTTTAATCATGTGAAAAGAGGGATAAACTTAAAAATATAGGACAATTCTTTATAGGTTGATTTACATCTCAATTGAACATAATCACTAATTTTTGCAAAAATATTGGATATAGACCACTAATGTGCTGAGCGCCTCAATCATACTTATATTTTTTATAGTCATTACTTTTTAAATATCTAAACATATTATTTATATATAGGTATATATATAGGCATATTTTTGGCAATTCTTATAAAATTAGTTCACATAAAACAAAAATTAATCAAGCATCAGATAGAAATTTGAAATTTCATTGAAACAAAATATAAAATTCAAAATTTAATAACTTCAAAGGAACTAAAAATAATAATTAAAAAAAATAACAGGGTCTAATAACATATGTATGTGTATATATATACTTATTAATGATAATTTAACCTAAATTCATAATTATCAATCATTTTATTTTTTCATTTTAAATAATATTCTTAATTTTCTACATATTCTACTTTAATTTTAAATTTATTATCTTACCCAATATTGTTCATTCAATTCAAAATGATTTTCAAATTCATATCCTCTTAAAATTTTAATTTTATATAATTTTTTTTTTTAATTTTAAATAAATATTTATATTTATTATGATATAATTTTATTAATATAATATAATAATATTTATATTAATGTAAAAAAAATACCAAATATTTGTAATAACATTTTGATCTAAAAATAATGTTAACATAAACATTAAATTTTCATTTTAAAAATTTGAAACGATTTAACATTGTTATTTTTTTTAATTTAATTTCATTAAATTTAATTTAATTTTTTTTTAAATGTGCGTATAATATAATAATAAAACATATATATAAGGTTAAATGATAAATTGATTATTCTTTTAAAAAAATCACAATAAAATAAAAAAAAATTAATTTATATACGCCGTTTATGTATGTAATTTGTTATTTACTTCTTATCTTTAAAATGAATTTTTTTTTTTTCAAATTACATTTTTCAATTATTTTTTTTTTTATTTTTTCTTCTTCTTTTTACTTATTTTTCTGTTCCAGATTTTTTATTTTAATTTTTTAATTTAAACAATTTTTCGTTTTGTTTTTTTTTTTTTTCTCACATAATTATTGGTTTATAAAATAATTAATTTAATATAAACAATATTTTTTTTGTGCTTTAATTACACCAATATTTTAAAGAAAAAAAAAACTTCTTTTAACCGTTAACAACCGTCTTTAAAGTTTGATGGTCAGTTAAAGACTGCCTTCCCGTGTTTCAATTAAAATTTTCTTTGAAAATATCAAAGCGTAAAAATCAAAAAAAAGATATTCAAAATGAAAAATTTTTTTCTTATTTTTTTATCTTTTCGGATACAAATCAAAATATTTAAAACTGCAACACTGAAAGTTTAGACTCAAACCAGAAAATATCCGTTATTGATTTTTATCCAATAAAGGAAATTTTTAAAAATAGTAAAAATACCTCGTTTTATCCGTAATTAAGTAATTAAGTAATTACTGTGTGAATTGAAATATTTATTGTGAATTGAAATTTTAATAAAATGTCATAAAAGGAATTTTTTTTTTTTTGAAATTTAGCGTGACATATGTAAAAGGAAATTCATTTTAAACAATATCTGTATTTTTTTTTTAATAAATTAAGAATGCAAATTAGAAATTTATTAATTCGTCCAATTAAAGCTTATTTTTTTATGCTGGATCGCTAGGTTGTGTTGGTGGGTTAGCTAAGGTTGCCAACGCGTCCCCGGTTGGATGCCACTTCAATTCACAAAAATATACTAAAATAAAATATACCTTATCTGCAATGGAAATATTCACAATGAAATAATTCTAATAACTTTTTACTTTTAAAATTGAATAATAAACTTCTCCACAAAAAATTCAAGGAAAATTGTGAATTTTTGAAAATCTATTTCTATTTCGACACGGTGAATTAGCATTTTATTCGTTAGAAAATAGTACATTTTGTTATATTTTAAATCATCTATTTTTCCTATTTTTCTTAAGAATTCTTGTTATGATTGTGATACTAAGATAGTAGACAGAAGCAAGTTTTCGCATGTCTATTATGAAGAGCCTGTATATCATTCCACAATAATTATAAATACCGATGTAAAATACACAAAATATAGGAGTAGGTACTTGTGCAAAGAAGAGCTAAAGTCCACACATTTTGTCTAAACGTACATACAGCAGGTACAAGTTAAGTATAGTAAAGATTCATTAATTATGGATTATAGAAACATTTGGATTTTCGTAGAATTTAGAAAATTTCATTCATTAAAGCGTAATTTTATTCTTATTTTATATATATACATATAACAATTTACTTTTAACAATAAAAAAATAAAAAACAAAAAATAATACTATTCAAACAATGTCCTTAAACTAGTTTCATTAAGAGCTATTAATAACATTATAAGACCACCCAATAAAATACCTAAAATTTGTATTAAAGTATTTGCAAAACTTTTTTTTGATTTTTCTAATTCGGGTATTAAATCTGTTAAAGCGATATAAAGAAATGATCCAGCTGTACATGCATAAATCCATTTAACCATACCAGCATGCATACCGGCAATAACTAATCCAAAAGCCATACCAATAAAACTAAGAATTGATGAAACAATATTAAGATAAACTGCTCTACGAATACTTAATCCAGTCTGAATTAGTAATGCAAAATCACCCAATTCATGTGGTAATTCATGACATAATACAGCAAAAGCTGTAGCCATTCCTGTAACTGGATCTGCTGCAAATGCTGCACCAATTGCTAAACCATCAGTTAAATTATGTAAACCATCACCAATAACTACCATAAATGCTACTGGTGTCATTGGTAAATCAATCATATCTTCTTTAGAATCCAATTTATTTTCATCTAACATTGTATTATTTGATTCGGGATTATGTTCATTTGAACATGCATTATTTGAATCTTGATGATTATTAATAATTATTTTTGGTGGTTCTTGATTATTTAAATTTTCATGATGATTTCTATGATGATTATGTCCACCATGGCTGTGCGCATGTCCATGTCCATGTGAATCTTCACCTCGAATTAATGGTAATAAACTTTCAATACAATACATAAAGATTATAGTAAGAAATGTACATCCAAATATCAATATTGAATCCATATGATCATGAAAACTATTTCTGCCGGATGGTGAATTAGCATTTGATACAAGTAATGCATGCGGTATTAAATGCATTAAAGCATCACCACCTAATGTACCAACAGCAACTGCTACCAAAAATTTTAATATTTCATTATAAAGAAAAGATTTCATTAATGGTACAATTAAAATTCCAAATAAACCACATGCCGAGAGAATTGTAATAGCAATTGCAGCATATATACAAGCTAAGTAAAAAATAATTTTTAATTACATATACAGCTTAAAATTGGTAAATATGAAAATACTTACAATAGATAAATTCAGATGTTCCGAGAGATGTTTCAGAAGTAACAAATGTAATTGGTGCATACTCAGAACAAATTTGTTGATCTAATTGTACCAATAAAGCTGGGCAAATTTTTAAGAATGTTGATGGGGTTATTTTTACTAAAGTTAACATCTCATCATCTTCATCTTTTAATGCATCGTCATCCAATTTTTGAGTCTTTCTTGGTACTTGTTCTTGTATCTCTTTATTCCTTTTTTTAATACTCTCATCACTTATTAAATTTAGAATACCTCTTGGGGATAAACAGATTTTTGTTGGTTTTTTAACTGGTTCACCTAAAATTACATGTTAATGTTATAATATTACATTTTAAATTGCTATACTAAATCATTTATTTTCTGTTACATTTAAAATAGTTATACTTCGACATAAAATTAAATTAAATCTGTTATAATAAAATCATTTTCTATATATAATTTAATTTTTCTCACCGTGACCATGACCATGGCCATGATCATGATCATGTGCTTCAATTTGCTTTGGATGATAATGTTTAGGATCATGCATTTCTTTAAAATCAACTTCATTTGTTAAAATTTGAAATTCATCATTATATTCTATGACATTACGAATAAATTTCTGTGAATCGGTGCCACCTTGTAATAATGTTGAATTTTTTAATATACTTTTAGGATGCGGCTCTAAATCTTCATCGGATGTTATGTCAGGTGGTGTATAACCAGTTGGAAAATGTTCTTCAATCGTATGAGTAGGACTGAATTCCAAATCTCCAATACCAAGATTGTGCATTAAATGTTCTAATCCCTAAAATTTTAAAATAAATTAGAATAAATATAACAGTTTTATATAAATTTTTTTAAGAGAAATTACATAATGTCCAAATAAACAAGAATTTAGTCATTGTTTTAAAATTTCTAAGAGAATTATGCATTTTTATGGAAATTTATATGCTAGACATTAAAAATTTTCTTTTCCAACTTCATCCTATGGATTTAGTAAATTCAAGTTATTAATTCTAATACGCAATGGATCTGGAGGATCCTATATAAGAATTTAATATTGCATTTCATTTAATATAATAAAAATGAATTTTATGACAATGTGTACTTTTGTTTCTGTTTCATTTGGCTATTTAAATATTTTATTTTAAGAAGTAAGAAAATAATTTTAACTGATAAAAAAATTAAATAAAATCCGATGTAAATATCATAAAACTAAAGTAAAACGGTAAACACTTTTATTTTCATTATACTGATTTCATATATTTATACGTAGGTATGTATAAATGTAAGTATATAAACAGTTATTTGATATTTTAATTATAAGTAAGTTTTATGATAATTGTAATTTGTTGCACACTTCATAAAAAGATTTTTTGACATGATTTATTAAAACCCATTCTCATTTTGTGGGTAAATAAGAAATTACATTCCTAAAAGTATTGGGAAGAATTAAAGTATAACTACAAATTTCTTTAGGGACTATGTTGCAATAATAATTTTCTTGCCGTTTTTCATTAAAAATACTGTTTTTTTTTAAGTTCATTCTTCAGTGGTGTTTATGCAAATTTAATTTTATCGTTCTCAGAGAGTTCAGAGCAAAAACCTGTGCTCAAAAAATTTCACAGAACTCATATTGTATTTGCATACGACATATGACATTACATTATACTATTTTGACATTTCAAATTTGAAGAATTATTGAAGAAATGACAGTATACGCTCTCAGATTATCAGCCTAATCGTGTATCTCGCATTTTCATCTCACTTTTTATTCAATTTTAAATCAGAATTCTCCGATTTTCTAATGAATATTTCATTTTTCTGATAAGTACACTTTTTCAATTGTATTTTTTAATTTTTTCTCAAAATTTTTGACTGAACGTGTCACCTTCAAAAAACAAATTGAATAAATTTTGTATAAATTTTGAAAAATACTCAATATGGAATAATTTTTCTCAATCGAAAGTTACATATGTATACATTATACAAATATATGAGGGTTACTCAGTTTCTTCTCACTTCAGTGAAAATGCCCATACTTGATATAAAAGTCAAAATTCATAAAAATTTTTTTAAAATTTTATGTGAATTATGGAACAAAAAATTAACAGCATAAATTAGTAACAAATAATAGTGAAAAAATTTATTTGTCATTGTCTCTGGATCATCCAATGTGTATAATGATTTCGAAAATAACCAAAATTTTAGAATCGAAGAATAACAAATAAATTTTGATAACTAACATTATAATACTTATAATAAATTTTTTAATTATAATAACCCTTATTATAATTTAAAAAATAATTTATGCTCTGTTTGCTCAATGTTTAAATCTGGATACTCGATCATATTTCAAGTGTTCCTGTTAAGCATACCAGATGTTATAAATTTTCTAATTAAATATAAATTCGTAAACTTTTATAATATACAGCCAAAAATATTTTTTAATTATACAAATTTTATGACTATGCAATTATATAATTTTCCGATATACCGAGTTATTTAATTTTATATATGTACATATATACATTTATTACTTGCATATTAGAGTCATACAAAATTATCTAATATATACTCAAATTATATAAATTTTTTTATATTTACATAACCACACAAAATATTATCTAAATTTTTTAGTGAAAAATTTAGATAATATTTTATAATACAAATATTTTTCGGAATGCTGCTATAATTTATTTTAAAAGAAATATTTGTTTAGCAAGCGAAATCTATATTATTTATGATCGTGCAAAAAATTTGCTCAAAATTTTTGAAGGAGTTGGACCAAGCTCATGCACAAAAATGAATAATAAAAATTTAATTTATTTTTAATCAAAACAGAAGTACGTTAACATGTCACTCCAAGTTTGATTATAAATTTTACCGTTTATCAAAATAAATAACTTTACGAAATACATATATATTTTTTGGGAAATATTATTAAAAGTATATCACTGTATTATTACTCACTGTGTAGTCGTAAATCTATTAATTTTTACATAAATACAAATGTATAACAATCGTCTGTTTAAATATTTAATTAAATTATATGTTTAGAATTTGGATGAAACCAATGAGTGATGTAAAATAGCACTTTTCTAGAAACCAAACTAATTCATTACTTTCACTAAAATACGAGAATTTTTGCATACATTTAGGATAAATAAACAAAAAATTAAAAAAAATGTTAACATAATGGTAAAATTAACGGTTAATTCTACCATTAATGTAGTGAGGCAAGAAAAATAATCATAATAATTTGATAGCATTTAATTTATCGTTAGCTTTTTGCTTCTAAAGAAATTTGCAAAAGGTTGCAATTTCACAAATTTAAGGTTTCAAAAATGCTATCAATTTCAAAAATTTACGGTGCCGAAAATTAAAGTTTTACAAATTTTAATATGCGATAACTTGAAAGATGATGGAGGTGGAAATTTTCTTTTAACGAAGTAAATATTTTATTAATGTTTAAAAGTTGCTAAAGTTTCAAACTTCCGCATTTTACCGTCTAGAAGAAAAACGACTATGCTGTAGCCTGATAAAAGAACAATATCGCTACTTTTCTGGGTTTGCAGACTTTAGAAAACGTTTATAGTTGCGATGGAACAAATGGTCCAAAAATGGCATTTTTTGAACTTTGAAAATCTGTAACTATTAGAGGGGAAATAGACAAATGTTTTTTTCGACAGAAAAAAGTTTCTACTAAAGATCTATTTGTATGAAAATTCTGTATAATTTGTGTATAAATATTCTAGCTTTTTATTTTAAAGAGTGTAGAAGATTTATAAACAGATACACGAACTGACGGACAGACAGGCGAATAAAGTGAAACCACTAAGCACTTTTTTCCTTTTTTTTTTTGGGAAAAGTGATAATAATTAAAATTTTTAAGTGATAATATATAAAATTCCAGACATTTGTTCACATAATCTTTTAATTCTATATCAACTATGTTTGTATAAAATAAGACAATTATAATAAAATATTTTTTATTACAACAAAAAATTAATAACGTTTTAGTAACATAGTAGTTCATATCAAAAATAAGCCGAAAATAAGCCTAATATTATCTCAGTTATATTTCAATAGATTACTGATGTTTATTTATTTATAAGTTCAGTTAAAAGTAATTGCTATCATTTGAATTCCAAAGCAGTTTAGATAAAATGCACATATAGCAATCTAATGAATTTTACATATTCAGAAACAATTTTGGAAAGCATTCAACAGTTAACTGGGCATTATGTTTTCATCATCTAATAAATTTTTTCTCTAATAAACTGAAATATTATATAATAACATGTTTTATATTGGGCTATAAATATTAAAATCCATAATAATATTTAACCTATTCCTATACATATAGCTTTAACAAATACTCCGACCATATTATGTAAAAAAATTTACGATTAAGATATGTAGAGGAAAACATGGGTCATTGTGTTTGTATAATTACTATTAATTCTCAATGTACTTTTAGAAAACATTCATCTTCTAAATAATATAAAAAAATTATTTAATAAAAAAAGTTCAACGTAATTGAAAAAGAAAATTTACATAATTTCCCACGTTATACACAGTATATGGATACATACATATATTGGTATCTGCATTCATGTTCTCTTTTTGAGAAATTGATGAATAAATAAGTAAATAAATAAATATTGTATACAACACAGTACACATGATATTTCTAATAAACTGAGATACTATCAACATTATGTACTCGTACATTTCTGAAATTTTAAATATTAAGCAAAGTAATTTACTATTCTACTCTTTTTTAATAAATTTTATATATTTTCATAAAAATAAATATAACCATATGCAAAATTGGAATGTATATAAAATTATAACATTTTCCAAACTTTAACCCGTAGTATAGGTATGTAATGTACTAGCAATTAATACATGTGCAAATTTCCCTTAAACATTATTTTTTTTTTTTATTTTAGAAAGAGAACATACTTTTTTGTATCTAAATGTTTGAAAACATTTATAGGGTGCTTTAGAAATATATTTCAGTATAGACGATTGAGAGACTGAGGTATAAGGTTTTATAGAGAGTACAGGCGATTAAGGAAAGTGAGTTAAAGCTAAATTTCCCCAATAAAAGGAGAAACTAAAAATTCACTTTAAAAATGCAAAAAATTAAAACAATTTGGAAAAGTTAAGAACCCCAGGCTCTCAGACAACAATCGAATCCTTCTTTTATTAGGAACAACAATCGAATTCTTCTTTTTATTTTTTAAAATCTCTTTCTATACAACTTAATGTAGCTTTTGCTATTTTTTACAACTTACGTGTTACATTACAGGCTGTAAATTAAAATTTAATTTATAATTTCTTTTTTAACTATTGCTACAATTATTGTGGCACACACCTATAAATTGAATACTGATGGTTCTAATCACACATTGTATTTTAAATTACTTGGGTAGGTACAACCTGTGATTGATTTAAGATTATTAAATTTTAAATAAAAATTTTCCGTAAATCACTCTTTATTTTTATAAAGAGGAAAAAATCAAAATAAAAGAACACAATAAAAATGATATAAACAATAGAATTATGATAGTAAATCTTTTATACATATTATGTACATACAGAAACAATATAATATTATAAAATTGGAATAATATACAATTATAATTACCTCAAATGTTATTGTCGCACCATTTCCATATTTTCTAAATAAAAATGTTAAATAACGATTATATTTTTTATTTTCAGCCAAACATTCATTCAATTCACTGAGCATAAAAGCGATATTTATTGAAAAAAATAATATATAATTTATTCTTTTCATTTTTATATTATGAATTTTGTTTTTTTTTCTTTTTATTATTTATTATTAGATGATATTTATTTTATATACTTTATATTTTTTTCTATACTTAATTAATAATTTCCTTAAATTATAACACATAAAAAGATCCCATTAATACTTGTTGTATTGTTCGATGTATAGCCTATGAATTATATTATTTTATATGAGTTTGTTTGCGTATTTATATTTTATTTATAACGATTCATAAGAATTTTCATAATTTCATAATATGCCTTTATTTCATTTCACTTTTAAAATTTACTATTTTTATTGCTAGTGCTCAAAATATTTAAAAAATAACAAATGAATAGTATTCTAAATTTTTAAATAGTGAGAATGCACCCTTCATTCCAAGATTTACTAAATAAACATCACAAAATTAATTATGAAAAACGATGGGGTCGTATAAACCAAAATTAATTGCCAAAATACTAATATTTTAAAAATTAATTAATTTAGTAAATAATTCAAAAGTATAATGATAATAAAATGGTTCAATCAACTTGTAGAATTGAATTCAGAATTATAACTAAATTTGTAGCTTAAAGATGATTTAAAACGTTGACTATATTCATACTAACTTTTATAATGATTAAATTTTAAGGGAAATTTTTTCATTTTTTTTTCTATGTTTTTCTTATTTTTTACAAACTCATACTATGACATTATTTAGTTGATTGATGGCGGGTGTAAAATAAACAAAAAAAAAAAGTTTTATTTATCTTGTAAATTTTTTTTCTTATTTTTTGATCTTCTTTCATATGATAAAAATATTTATATTAACCGATTCTCACACTATTATCTAAAATATGACCGCATTGATAACAATATTTTTACCATCATAATATTTAAATGTATTTAAATATAATTTGAATATTTTTTGTAGGTGTAGGTGCGGCATTTTAAAGAGGGATGCTGCATTTTTACACCAAATACTTAGACAGATGACAGATAAAATGAATACACTATAATGACAGTATAACAAAATTCTATCAGTAAGTACTTAATACCTATATTTCAATATCACTTGAGCTTTTAAAGCTTTTTTTGTTTATGAAAAATATGAAATTGACTTTAATTTGGTGAATTAATTTTATATGGTGAATATGTATAGTTCGTTATACAATTTATATTTAAATTCAATTTTTAAGTTATTTATTGCAATATATAGGAAAATAAATATTTAATAAATTATTATTATTTAATAATAAAATAATTAAATTAATTAATATTTTTAAAAATACAATCAATTATTTAAACATAAATTCATATCGTTTTTTTGCCATTATTATTTCATTTAGCATTATTATTATTATCACATAATAATAATAATGCTAAATGAACTCAAAAAACAATTAAATAAGATCATTGCGTATATACATAGTTTATAATGATATACAGGAAATGATTTTTATAATAACGTTTTTACAGCTGCCCTGTAAGTGGGTAGCATGTTTTTTAATTTGAAATAACGCCACTCAAAACAAGTAGTTCTCTTGCATTGCTAATTACAAAAATTGTCTTCTGTATATCACTATAAACTATATACTCTATGATATAAACTCACTTCTTTTTCAAACAAGGTTTATTAAATGTTTCAGAAATAAAATATAATAATAAATTATCTTAAATGCAGTTAATCTTATATTTAAAAACAATAGAAATCTTTTTCAAATTCATTGTTTGTGAGAGAAAAAAAAACAAAAGTTGTTAAAATTATGTGCCATAAGCTATACGTATATATATAAATGCATGGTGTACAGTTAAATAAATTTCATAGGTCCTCATTAGTTTTTAATTTTATAAAAAAGAAATCAAAAGTATTCGTATAATCAAATTTTGTATAAAATTATGAATATTTTGCGATATTGAAATTAAAATGAAGTTAAATAATTTTTCAATATAAGGCAATTTTAATTACAGTGTTTAACTTAAAATATATACATATTATAAATATCGAAAATTAATTGAGACTCAAAGTCACATTGATATGAAAATTCTTCACTCTGAAAATTGTAAATTAAATTTAAAACTTTAAAAACTGTATATTCTTTCATTATTGGTAAATAATTTTAAAACACTTCAATGAAATTAGTAAACTCACGAGAATCGTACCAAGTTTTAAAATTAAATTCATTAAAACAAATTGTTATTTTTAAATTATCGAAATAATAATAATATATTTTTAATTTTACTGCTTTTTTTGCTTTTTTTGTTTATAACTTAATATAAATTTTGTATTCAAATTTATTAATCTAATTAAATATAATCTAATAAATATATTATTTATTTTTTTATTATTACTTATTACATATAGTTTTGTATTTCAATAAAATTTTACAAAATAAAATTTGATTAGAAAAAAAAATGATTCTTTAAAAGATAAGAAATAATATATTCTTTTAAATACTATAATATTAATACAGTAAATGAAACAATACTTTGTTTTACAATCTTATTTTAATATTACACGTTTGCTACTTATAATATTATTTGTCTTTTTATTTATTTATTGCTTTAAAATTTTAATTTCACATACATTATTTGATAATATATGTGTGTTATTTGTTAATTATTGTACACTTATATTTAATTTTATGTTTTGTATTGATATTGTATAGAATTATTATAATTAGTATACTGATTATCATTTATTTATAGAAATATTAATGATTTTTAATAAAATTTTAATGAAAAAAATTTTATTTACTATTTTTGTTTTTTAATAATTTCTAAATTTCTTTAACGATATTCAGTTTTATAATTGCTAATATTTTAAATTCGAAAAAAAAATATTTTAATTTCAATGTTCAATAGAAGTAAGAATGCTATAGATCTAAAATCCTATATTTGTTAAAGAATAATAAACGCTATTATCTTAAAAATTGAAAACAAAACCGAATTACTTTGTATTTTTTATTGTGGAACTTATTGCATTTTTTTAAATTTTGATCAAAATTATATTCAAATTATAGTTATCATTCAAATATACATCGACATATTAAGCATAACTTAGTGAGTCTTGGTTTGAAACCTTCTATAAAAAAAAAAAATAGATAATAATATTATAAAAACTTTTCATATTAAATTATGGAATGTTTTTGATAAATTTTTATCTTAAAAAAAAAACAAGTATTTTTGAAAAGATTGAAATTCCACCTATGTATTTTATCATTTTTTCAGTTTTGTGAACATGCTATTTAACATTAAATGCAAATATTTGATTAAAATAAGATATTACAAAGGTTTAGTTTCTTTATAAAAATTTTCAAATAACTCTTTGTTAATGTTATTTCAATAAGTATAAGTAAATAAGAAAAAATTGTTATAAAAAATTTACTATTATTAAAAGATAAAACTTAATTGAATTATTTTGATAAGACTAAATTGATCTTTGTTAAAACAATGGTTGATATAATAATATAAAATCAAATATAACTAAATAAATTCACTTTAAATAATAATAATAAAAAACTACTTCAAAAATTTACGCCCTAAGTTACGTATAGGTTTTATAATAATAATTATTGATTCTTTTATTGATTTAAGAAAATTAAATGGTTTGATTTTTATTTGAACTCTAAATATTTAAGATTATTTTCAATAAATAATGTGCTTGTTTATAATTTTTCTTTTTTTTGGTCCAATATTTTTAATAAAATTCAAATAATTTTTTGTTAATTACAACCCTATATTTTCTTGGCAATATATTAATAATACCAATTTAAATCAGTTTTTTATTCTATATAATAAGTTTTTCTAAAATTTGGAATAAAATTTATACATGCAAATTGAAGAATGTAATAAATATTTTTTAATGTCTTTTTACAAAATCTAATTTTATAAATTCGTCAAAATAAATAATCATTGAAAAATAAATAATACGAGAATAAAATTATAAACATTATCAATTAAATTTAAAAATAAAGAACAAATATAAATTAATTTTATGTTATTTAAATATATGTAGCGTTTCTACAAAAAAAATTTTATTTGTTGCAGAGAGATAACATTTGCGTTTGACGCCATTATTGTTTAAGACTTGTCCATACAGAGAAATGTTTATTCATTATTTTATAATTATTACTATAATAGTTAATGAACTTATATTGGATCTTATCGTGATCGACGAAGCAAATAATATGTTTAACGAATATGAATTTTTCATACTATGATTGACGAATTCACGCGAATCCGCATAAACTATCAAAACTGCCAAATTAATTCAATACGACAAGTTTAGTGAATAAAAGAAAAATCGAAATTACAAATTACTTTCTGGTTCTCACAATGTAATTTTTGAATGAAATCATTCGTCGATTATTATTTGAAATGCTGTTTAATTCGTCAAGCTAATTTCATTAGTTTATTAATTCGCTTTGTCGATCATCGTAAAGCCATTAATTTAAAAAATTTTATTATGTAAGTTACGTATTGAATTTAAATAAGTTATAAAAACACAAAAACTTGTTTGGTTAGCAATCACAGACTTTAAAAAAATTTACTTTTAGATTTAAATAAAATCCTACTTTATAGTTTATATATAGAAACGACATACATACTTAATGTTATTTAGCATACTAATATTATGTTACAAATATTAAATTGTATATATATATATACATATATATATTTCTATTTTTATTTTAAAATTTAGAGCTTCATTGAATTTAAATTTCGTCCTTAAATTAATAATTTCTTAATCAATTTACGTAATAAAAATACAAATATCTTAACTTCTATTAAATAATAAAAATGTCTTTTCTTTTATATTAAAATCTCTAATTAATCGATTTTCTCTTGATTTGGCATACATAAAAAGAATTTTGAACACCAGATATTCAATTTTTGTGACATAGATGTCAGAACTTCAACTGGCCTATATATTGTTAAGTAATAAATTGGTATACCAGATACAATTATAGCTGAACCAATTCCAACTTCCATTGGTGATACGTATATGGATGATATCATTAAAAATCCACATATTATCAAATATAATATTGGTAATGATAAATTAACCTAAAAGAAAATTAAATTTAAAAAAATTTATCTGTAATAATAATAGAAAAATTTAATTTATTTAGGTAATTTTTACTTTTATAGGTCTATTACTATCTGGATTCTTTTTCCTTAACCACAGTAATCCCGAAATTGACATAAAAGTGAAAAATGCTTCTACGAATTGTACATAATTTATTAAGGCATACATATCTCGGATGAATAGTAAAATCAAAGTAACAACACCCTACAAATAAAATAAAATATATTTTTTTTTTTAAATTTAAAAAATTATTAATAATTAAAAAAATTTTTTTAATATACCAAAAATAATAATGATGGAATTGGCGTCAAGAATTTTACATTAATTAAAGATATCGCTGCCGGTAAATGACCATTTCTAGCTCCAACGAAAAGTAAACGGGAAGCACCAAAAATAGCACCATTAAGAGCACCGAAAGTTGAACATGCAACAAAAAATGGCATCAACCATGCCATAAAACCAAGCATTTTGTCTCCAAACGTTACAGCAACTGCTTCTGATGATAAAATTTCATCAGGTGTCAATACTGAGAAATATGCAATATTTGTTACAACATAAATTGTTGTAACTAATGGTAATGATATACAGATTGCTCTCGGCAGATTTCTAAAAAACGAAAAAATATCAAAAATTAGTAAGAAAATATTAAATTTATTATAAGAATGTATAATTTAATTTCAAATATGGAATCGAAAAATTTACTTGTACGGATCTTTTAATTCTTCTGTGACATAATTCAAATAATTCCAACCAGAATATGAAAATAAACCATTATAAAAAGCTAATGCAATAAAGCCTGGTGAAAGTTGTGAGCCTTCTAATGGATAATCCCATTTTTCAGTATTACCAGTAAATAAATAATAAGCACCAGCTCCAACGATTATTAAAAGTGCTAAAATTTTTGTTCCTGTAAAAATATCTGTTATTCTGGTTACCCATTTAACATTATAACAGTTGACCATCGTTAAAAAGCCTATAGTTCATTAAAAAATATCAATTATTAGATCGATTGAATTGTAAATTGATTAATATGTGTTTTATGACTGTATAAATTTTTTAATTTTTTACTTACATGTTATTACTGCAGCTAATAATTGAACCGCTTCAACTGGTGCTTCACATGATGGCCAAAATGGTTGTAAAAGATATTGTGCAAAAGTTAATGCTGTAATTGCATTTCCAGTTGGAATAAGAATTAATAAAGCAACCCATAAATATAGAAATGCTGGTAAAGGACCAAATGCCACATCAATATAAGCATAATCTCCTCCAGATTTTGGTATCATAGTTCCTAAAAGTAATTTTAAATTAAATTTTATTAATAATTATAACGAAATTTTTAAAATAAAATTAAACATTTTATCAATTGTTGTATCTAATTTCAGATTTGGTTTTAGTTTTTGATTACCATGTACGAAATAGAATTACTTGGTTTAAATTCAAATATTTTATTAAGAATAAATTATTCGCTAACTAATCGAGATCAAATTACCATAAAAGAATTCTATAATGAATACACCTTTCGTTTAATAACCTATAACATATTCGAAAAAATGTTAAAAATTTTGTAAAACGAGATTTTATTATAATTTAGCTTTCAAATTTATTTATGAAATAGCTGTATTATATGGCTATTTGAAACTTGAAAGAAAAATTTTAGTCTAGATATGTCAGTGCAAATTTATTAATATTCCAAACAAAATTCTAAACAAATATAAGTAATATTGAATAGTGTTAAGCTTATTACAAAAAAAATTATGTAAAATTTACAATGTTGTAAAACGTAATATAATTTTTGCCATAATAATATCGTGATCGTAAAAATGATCACAATTAGCTCTGCGGGCTCTACTAACACACAAAACATGTAACTATTCTGCGAATGCAACTTTTTCTAAGAATTCATTCAAAATCAACTCCTACAAACTATAAATAACATTATTTTCTTTTATCGTTATTTCGATCTTCCTTATAGCCAACATTGCTCCTGTTATCATACATTAGCTTTGTTGGAAAATCCCTTTATATTAGAATATTATTATAATAGGGGAAAAATCAGAATAAATTATAAAAATTAAGTAAAGGGAATTGTATAATAAAAAAACCAATAAAATATTTTTTAATATTATTAAATATTTTTTCTTTTTCTTTATAAAGCTTTAAAATGGAAATTATTTAATTATACTGGTGTTATTAAAGTATATTTAATTGTAAAAAAATTCTTTGTAAATAACAAATGAAACTTGTATTATAAAAATGCATAAATATTACAAATAATTATTGGTTCATTGTTAATCACGTCTATGCCAAATAACTTTGGTGAATATTGACAGTATAGTGTCAAGTATATAATAAGTATTCCATAAATTAAAATTTGATATTTTTATGTTACTGTAGTGTGCACACAAATTCAATTCATATATGTATTTCAATTAAGTATATGCAGGGTGATTCATAAACAAGTAAGGAGCCATATACCGTTCGGTAGAGGATTGAAATGAGAAAAATTTTTGTTCGATCATTATGTTAAATCAAAGTCGTTTTAGAGCTACAAAATTTTTAAAGATTTAACGAAATTTTAACAAATCTAAGTTTTTTTGTTTACACTTAACTTCCTTTCCAAAAAAATGTAGAAGCTTAACACAAACAGTTTTTGAAAAGGCTATTACAGGTCTTAAAATAAAGAAAAGCGGATTATTTGGTTTTACATGTTATAGGCAAAAAAAACTTAGATAATTAAAATTTCGGCAAATTTTTTTAAAGTCCTTGTAGCTCGGGAACGGCTCTGACTTGATAAAATGTTCCGATGTTCTATCCGATGCTCTATCCAATGTTAAAAAAATCACCCTGTATAAACGTAAAATTAAAAGTTTAACCAAATAAAATTTTCATTATTTTTGGCTTTAAAGTAATGCATTTCACCACCAAGATAGGAAAGTAGCCTATATTTTATCTAACTATTTTGGCCACATATTTATATCTGTATTTTATTTGTGGTTTTTATTTTATGGTTAAACATACGCTTTTTAAGTACTCTCATTTTATGTACCCACTACTTACAAATTAAGTGCCTTTAGTAAGTAGATATATACATATAAGTACCTATTATGTACGCTATCTTATCAATTTATTTATTTATTATATTATTGTCATTATCATATAAGTAAGTATGTAACTTTTATTGGTCTATCACTCAATTTTCAAAAATCTCTTTAATAATAATTTTAAGTTTATACTTATAATATTATAAAACATTTTATATACATTATACATATATATATATATATATATATGTATATATGTATATATATTATTTATTTTAAGTTCCGTATATTATCTATTATTATTATTTAAATCATAATATTATTATTAAATAAAAACATTTAAAGTGAAACCAAAAAACAATGATATATAAAAAATATGCTAGCTGCGACTGTGATTTTACTACATGAGGCCATTAGCATCGAAAAAAAAAATACAAATATTATATTTGATCCAATTATATTTGTAAAACGACATGTGTTCTAAGGTAACGTGAAGAGGCGTTCAAATGCAATAATAATAAAAACATTTTCTATTATTATATTTAATATGGTTATAAATATCTTATATATAGTAGCTATGTAACACAGAAAATTTTTTTATACATTATGTATAAACATATAAAGACATTTTTGTTGCGTATATTTGCATATTAATATTTGAATATGCATAAACTTGTAAGTGGTAATTGACAAAATATAAGTACTTATATATAATTTTCTATGTAAGTTTTATATATGAAGGTAAAGGGCATATATTTAAATAAAAGAAACACAGAAATCAGAAAAAAAAAATATATTTTTAAATTAATATAATTATGCAGTCTTTTGCTACTTTTAATACTTATAAGAATTTGTAAATACATGACATGTAAATATGCTCTAAGTATGCAATATACTTTTCGTGTGATAAGTTTTATTATGTATTAAGTGTGATAAGTGAAGAAATGGTCTATAATTTTTTGACAAATTTGATCAATTATGCATTTTTGCATTCTACACATAGTATGCACATATATGTACATGTTATAGGTATATATAAAGTAGTTTACTTAGAAAATGTGTAATAGTAGTATATACAGAATAGAAAAAGTTGATTTCAACTATGAAAAAAATCTATTCATAGAATAGTTTCCTTAAAATTCTTTGAAATTTTTGTGTCTATTTGTATTTAAAACATAACGTTACAAATAAATGGTACCAAATAATGATAAGTACATACATAGATACATACATACATACACGCATACTACATCTAAATAAAAATAAAAATTTTATGATTAAGTCAGCGAAAAACGAAAAATTCGACTTAGTCAGCGAAAAACGAAAACTTCACTATGCTCTTGATCAAGAAATTTGCACACGTTGAAAAATCTACACACCTAACTGTTTTTTTTTCGAACACGACATTTAATACTTAAAATAGTTGTGAATATCAAAATATTTTAAATTTTTTTATTAAGTAGCAGGCATAAGAATTTAATAATCTCAGATATTTTACTTAGCTTCGTAATTACAAATTTCTTAAAAATTTTAATTCTATATCAGATGTCAGTTCATCTGTCTGTCTAAAATTGAAATTAAATATGTACAGCTAAAATTAAATTATTTATCCACATATTTACAAACTTTTTTAAGGAAATAATATTTTCATTATTTTAATGAAAATATTATTTCCTTAAAAAATGGTTATGCATGTACATATGTACATATACTTATGTTTATTCCTCCTTGTCTTAAATTTGAAATCATGAAAATAAAAGTGAAGTATTCTCCAAGTTATAAAAATGCAAGTTATTTTGTGCGAAACAAGAAAATTCTACGCACAGATATCCAAACTGTTTATATGACATTTCAAATAAACAATTAAATGTTACATTGTCGCCGAGACCTTCTCCTACACAAAATGAGTACATATATGCATACATACATATTTTATTCCTATAATAATTATCACATTAAGATTCCTTTTATAATTATGCAAATTTGAAGTTGTAACAAGAAAATTACTTCAATATAGTGCTTTCATTTTTGAAATTTAAAACTATATACGTATATGTACATATGAACATATAAATTTTTAAAAGAAATTGCTTGATTACTTTTACATGATAACTCCTTTTTGTTAAACAACTGCTAAATTTAATAATCACTAATAAAGTTTGATTGTTCATTGCAGACGATTTTTTAAGAGTTTTTCAAAATCTAAAATCACAAAATATCTCAAAATCAAATTTAAGAGAAAATACTCTACAAAGCTTTATTATTGTATGCGTTTCTTCATTTTTTTTGTAGAGAGCATAATATGACAAAGTATAATGACATGGCATGGCATACATAACGCTTTAACAAGCGTTAACATAATGCTTTTGTTCTCTCTTCAAAAATCTTTTTCATTTTTTTTGCTTTCGTCATTATATCATATACATTCAAGAAATAAAGTTATTTGAAATTTAAAGTTGGCTATTTGAGTCAAGAATTTCTCCACAATTTTATTTTTCTTTTGATTTCATTCATTATTTTCATATACATACAATAACTTTTATACCAACATAATTATCCAACTTTACAAAATCATATCATATGATAATATGGGTGTATATATAAAATTGTTGAAATTGGAGTGTTGAATTGCTTTATATGCTATCATAATGAGTGTTATAATCTTCTATATAATAATTTATATAAATATGAACATACATATAATTACTATATTTTTATACATAAGTATTGAGGAAGAGTTCATTATCTAGCAACATGTGCTTTTTATTGCGTCACCTAATTACTTCTCTTCTCAAACAAGACAACATATTATGCATAAGTGTGTGTATATACAAATGTATATATAAGTATATAAGAACACATGCTTATATATGTATATACGTTATAATATATTAGATATATAGGTGAAGAAAACGTTAATATATTTTGTCAACCTATTTTTTACTTTCTTATTTATATAAAACCGGTGTGTTTATGCGCATATACAGGTAGGTACATTACTCCATATTAATATACATTAAATAAGTATAAATATACGCATTATTACATACATATCTTTATTTTAACAATAACTCTATTTTTAATACTTACTTATAATGAAACTTTCATATTTTGAAAACTATTTTGGTAGTATTGCAAAAATAAAAAATTGATTGACGTTAAATGAAGGCTAATTGGCAAAATTTTTGATTTATAATTTTGCAATTATTTTAGTTTTTTTATATATATACATATATGTATATGTATGCGTGTATATATGCATGCATGCTTTATAAGTATATGCAAATTTTTGTTTTGTTCCATTGCTTTGCATTCAACTTTTAATGCATACCTATATAGGTTTATGTAACTGTTCAATCAAATACATAATAATATGATTAGGTAAGTTATGAGCACAAAATTATGTATTTGCATACATGTACACACAATGCATAAATGAATCCGAAAACTATAATCAAACACACAAGAATTATTTTGTTCATAATTTTTAAATGTTACCTACATACCTACCTATCTAAGATAATTACATTTATATTAAAGATTTCTCACCCCTACGAATGTACATACATAAACATACATATGTACATACATTATAATGATAAGATAACAAATATTATTGATAATCATAAAAATAGTAGACACTTAAAACAAATATTAAGTATACTATAAATTATGTGGGATGGCAATAATCTTATTTGTATAAAATATGCGTTTAATTATTTATTTACTTTCATAATAAATTTCACTTTCATATAAATTATGAATATTGTGGTTACAAATACCGATAAGTAATAGCATCATAATAAATTGAATTGAAAAAAAAACAATAAAATTAAGGCAACATTTTTATTGTAAATATTGAGTGAAGAAGCAAACGATCAGTTATTAATAAAATTATAGACATAGACTAATTTGTATTAGACAACACATAAGTTTTAATGAAAAAATTCATCGTTGGCCAAAGCATTTTTCAGATGATTATTATAAAATGTAATATCTTTTAACGAAATGCGATAATATGTACAAAAATAAAATCAACACAAAAATTTGAATTCATACGAAATTTCTTTATGATTTCTTTCTATTCTGCATATACATACATACATATACTATATATTTAACCCCTTAAGAATACACCAAAAAAAAAACCTTGAAATTTTCAAAAGAGTTTAATGACTGGTAAATTTATTCGAGCATTTACATAATATACCTATAGTTTTTTTTTCCCCCTAAATTTGTTGTAGCTGTATCCATACATATATACATATGTATGTACATCATTAATAAACGTATATTATTCGATTTTTGAATTAAGTTATGTACCTATTTCCTATAGCATAAAATTTGTATTTACAAATTCATAATAATTCAAAACTTATTTGCATGTACAAAAAGGATTTTTTTTTTTCGTTCAAGAAATCAAACTCATTGTATACATACTCTATAAGTCCTTCGGTATTTCTGTAAAAGAAGGGTAAAAGTCCTTCAAAATTTTTATAGTTCTGCAATAACAAAGATTTTTTATGCCAGGTTAAATGGCAAATTATACATTAAAAATTCTATAGGGAAGAGTTACTTATTACTCGTATATGACTAATCGAATTTTGAAAAAAAATGTTAAAGAGTGAGTACATACCAGAGTGAATAATATTAAGAAAAATATAAGTAATCGTGCATATAAGTACTTATAGTACGTTTTTAGTGCAAATTACTCTAAAACTAAAGGTAATACAAATATAAAATCCTAAAAAATATAAACGGTTTGCTCAAAAAATGATGAATATGAATTTCTGATCTAAACGCCTAAAAATTGGAGTCGATTTAGCCTGATAAAATTTTAAAAGTATATAATTTATTAAAATCACATTGGATACTATAGATTATATTGGATTGGAGTTTTAAACTATAAGTAAGTACTATTACTTATATTTTATTTATTTAAATTGTACATAAAAATTTACTGTTACATACTATTACTAACAATATATTAGTAACGGTGTGAAAGTATTTAACTTTTAAGTATTAAAAAAAAGAAAATAAAAATTTTTTATACATACCTAATTCAGCATAACATAAGGCACCAACTAAACTTAATATACCAGATAATATCCATACAATTATTGATTGTAATATTGAACCGGAATGTATTAAAACACCTTTTGGACTAACAAATATACCAGATCCAACTATAACACCAACAATAATTGCAACACCATCTAATAATGAAATTTCTTTTTTTAATTTTATTCCATTAGAACTGCTGTTATCACCACTAGAACTTTCACAACTGCCACCTTCACCACCACTACTATTTTCATTATTATTTCCTTTGGTTGATTGTGTCATTTGTATATCAAAACTAGATTTTGGTTGTAAATTATCACTGGCACCAACACGAGCCATTCTTTTAAAATTTTCTTTTTTTTAATAAAATTTATTGTACTTAAGTATATTTCTTAAATAAATTCTCAATATTTTTATTTAATAATTTTAAAATAATTATTAGTTTTTATTATAATTACTTAGATAGTTTTTGTTTTTCTTAATTATTTTATTTAAAATTGTATTCTTATACTGTTTTAATTTGTTCGATTTTTATTAATTTTCTTGAAGGTTTTATTATTTTTCATTATTGTCATGATATTTTGTAAGTCATTGTTTTATTTTTGTGTATTTCTTTCTTATATTAAGATATGTTTATAGTATTTTAATTAATATTCAAATTAAATATGCAATAATCTGTAAAATATTATAAAATTATACTTAATAATAAATTTGAATAAATTATATTATTAGCTAAGTATTTAATAATCATAATTAATTAAAATTAATTTATGAAAATATAGTAAAAAGGTGGCTTAGAAAACCTTATATATATCTAATACATTACAAAAATGTAATAATTAATAATAATAAGCAAAAAGTTTTTAAGATGTATTTCTTGTATAAAACCATATAGCAATTAAGTAAACATAGTTCAAATAAGCTTTTGGTCAAAGAAATAAATGAAGGTGAAGAAACTATTTATTAGCTACTATGAATTTGAAATTAATCATTTAAATGTTAAAAATACATTTAAACATTCAATAACATTTCACATGTAACTACTTATAGCATTCTTCAGTGTTTTATAATAAAAAATACAATATTCATTGCAGTAAACAATTAAAGAATATTTTTAAAACGCGTCTTTTAATACAAAATCTTTCAATATAAAAGTATGCGTTAATTATAATATACTTGGCTTACAAATTATTCTTTAACACCTAATTAATATTTATTAATTAAAGTTATATTTAATTAACAAATTCATAAGCAATAATTTAAAAAATTTACACAATGTTAAAGTATTATTTTATTATTAGCTGCTAATTGAATTTTTATAATTATGTTTCTTAATATGAATAGCTACCTTGTTAACAGATAAATTTGAAACTAAAATCAATGCTGGAGTAAATATACGAGCATTTTAGCACTACCATTTTATCCCAATATTTTATGCAATCAGCAATTTGTATTTTTTTCACAAAAACTTATTGAACAAATCGTATTTAATTAATTAATAATCAAATTGTACTTTTATTACTATTTTGTTATATATATATACGTATCAATAGCAGTGAGTACTTGTTCTAAAAAATTATATAATTATTTTGAAAAACAACCTGCTACAAAACATGTGTGACAAGTTGATGTGCTGTTAAATTCTATTATGCATTATTAGAATTTTAACAGCCTTTATACTTATAAAATATATGTATGTAATGAAATATATGTATGTATGTAATAAAATATATATATATAGAAATGCATTAACAAACACAGACTTTATAAATAATAGACAGATTTTCTAAGTGTGTTATGTCTTCATACTTATAAGAATATAGAAAGATAAGGAAGACGTTCCTATATTGAATAAAGAATATCAAAATAATAATTCTAAATGAGTATGTTATTACTCATATAATAATCTGTGATATATAAGTATATATACATATTTATATGTCTATATCAATGTGATTATTTAAATTTCACATAAATTTTTATAATATTCACAAGTGTTTATTAAACTTTTGAAAAAATTACAATGTAATTACATTATCTACTTTTTTATAATTCGCCCACATATTAACACACAAATTCAAAAATGATCTAATTATAAATATTTTTTAATAATGTAAAAACAGATTGAAAATTTCATAAATTTGAATGCAGTTGCAAATTTAATTCCATATTTCTTCGTTATATGTGCTTTATAATATCTAGTTCTAAGTATATTAAATATGGTTATAGTTGACATTTAATATTTTGATTCCCAATATTTTAACTTTGCATCTTTTTGTCATTTCCTAATCCAAATTTTATATGTATATATTTAAATATAAATTTGTACAATATAATAAATAAATAAATTGTAATATTTTTTAAATTAGAAACTGGTTTCATAGACTTATAAGTACTAAAAATATATTTATATCTAAAAATAAATTATAATTATTTTATTAATAAAAAATTTATAATCGTAATATTATTGACTAGTCCCTATAATAATTAAAATGAATGTTTTTCCAAAGCTCTAAACTTCTAATGAATTCCTCGATGAATTTTTAATTTTTTAAATAGAAGTTAAAGTTGAATTTAATTATGGCTCCAAAATACCCATTTCTTTATGTAATTTAATCAGAAGAATCAATTTACCTATACTTTTTTTTGCATTTTATTAAAATTTAAATTACTTGAGCCAATTTTCTATACGAACTTTAATTATTTTCTAAAAATTCCCAATAAGGAAAAAACCAAGTTTTTACTACTTAATTTCTTAAATGTAATTCTATTATGGATTCACAAAAAGAAAGAAAGTGCAAAAAACAAATTCACAAAACGATTTATAGACGCAAGTTAAAGCTTGTGTCCAATAATATTTTTGATGCACACAATAATTTTAGATTTAATTGCATTTTAAATATAGGTGAATACATTTTGTAACAAATAATTAAATTATTTTTATATCACTTTAAATTGGATTTAAAAAAATATTGTGAATTGGTACATTTTAATTTCTACGTTTAATCAAAACACTACACATGTATAAGATGCAGATGTCTGCATAATTTATAATTCTATGGCAATTTGATAAAACGTGAAATATCCAAATCCAATATTGCTATTTTTCAGTATGACGAACTTTTTTAATTTTATTCTCTACAGGAACCTGGCTCCAGTTGATTTTCGTTGCTTATTAAAATAATAATTCTATTAGATTTTTGTTAATTTTCATAGAATTTACATTGGATATATATTTGGCAATAAGAGTATTATAATTTATACCTACAACTAGTTTAATTCTAAATTATATTCTGATAAAACTAAAACAAGAAAAAATTGAAAGTTTATTTTTTTAAATTTTTTTTTGAATTTTTTGTCAATTTCTTTAAGCAATTCTCTTTAAAACAAAATGTTTATATTTTTTTTATGTAATTTACATTTCAATACGTATACAAACATACATACATATGTAAATGTAAAACGTATTCTTGTTTCAAATTATATGTAAATTTATGTTACAAATTTGAATTGACAAAATTACACAGTACCCAATTAAATGTGCGCTTATATTTTTTCTGTTTTCAAGCACATTTTTTGATTTTAAATCACATTCTTAATTAATTAAAAATAATTATTAAAATGTCTCAGAATTTTTTTTAATTTCTTCTTTTGAATATGCACAACATTAAATTTTCTTTAAGATTGATAGCTTATATACATATACATATCTACATAATATATTATAACAATTATTTTCATATAAAGTAAATAATAAGCGTAATATTCCATATGGTTTTATACTTAACACGTGGCTTTAAATAACAAAACTCGATCATTTCTTATCGTTTCTTATATACATACTTATAATATATAGATATATGTATATATCTTCCTTTATAATAACGAAAAAACATCGGTTATACACGTTATATACATTTTTTATTTATAATATAACAAAATTAAAAAAAAAAAAAAATTAAGTCACAATGTACGGTAACACATTTTTCTTTATAAAATAAAAATGAAAAAAAAATAAAACAACTTTATTGCTATACGGTCTTTACTCAACTAGATAAAATTTTGTTATTTCTCATATTTTATTCTTTTACAAAAAGCATTTTTTTTTTTCATTTTTATTTTTGTACTTAAAAATAAAAATACGAAAAGCAAAAGCAGTCGCAAACTTCATAATGTCTTTTATGTTAAGCATGCGAATTCCCCTATTTCTATGTTTATCGCTTTCTTAAACAAAAAAAAATTTTGTTTTATGTATGGATTTTATTTTGCTGAACAGTCGCGAAATTTGATTTTCTTTTCTATAATGGTATGGCAGTATTTATGGTATGGCATGGTATTGAAATTTTTAAAATCATGTTGAAGTTGAGTGTTGAGAAGTTTAAACTCTTGTTTTGTTACCTCGCAATTATTATAATTTACAATACAATCAATGTGCTATATCAAATATATAATTATAAACATATGTATATATACATACAGATTTAAAGGAAAATAAACATTTACATTAATATACACATATAAACATTTAAGTGCACATGCAAAAGCATAAATTGCTTGTTTATATAAAAATATCTTCTCTTTACATAAATAAATTTATTTCCAAGTAATTCATATACAAATGCATAATACCTAATATATAAATTTTCATACATATTTTTCGTTTATAAAAATTTTTACCTGTTCAGCTGTTCTAAAAATAATTATTGAAAATTTCTCTTTATTTTCTATTCTAAATTAGAAAAAATTATTTCTCTTTATTTTTCTGTTTACTTCTTGCATTTATTATTATTATTATCAGATTATATTGATTAAGTATAACAATAAATATTATGTATAATAATAATTTTCAATGTTAAGGTATTATAATTTATAATAATTTATAAAAGTAACATAATTTGTAGCATAAATATGTAAATATATAATATTAGTATGTTATGAATTTTTTAAATCATACTTAACTGGCACTCTTCAGACTACAATCAAAATATTTATTTATTTCATATTAGAGATTCTGATTTAAGAGAAATAAATAAAATTAAAATTTTGCATATCTACTGGTACTGACAGTTTTAACCGATAATCATGAGTTAAAGTGTTAATACTAACATTTTACAAAATTATGGAAAGAGAAAAGTAGCTATATTGAGTATTGTTTGTTATGCTATAATATGAATTTCTCTCAATTATATTTTAAGAGAATTTATCTTGAAAATAAATAATAATATGAATGTTTAAAAATAAAGTTTACATTTAATTTTGTTCGAAATAGAAGTACCTAAGTATCTGTTAAAATAAATATTATTATAATTCCTGTGAAAATATTTTTGTTTTGATTTTATACAAATTATTACCAATTTATTATTGATATACCTACATCAATTCTTTCTAAATTTAATAGACATTTAAATAAAATAAGGTATAAAGTAAGTTAATCTAATTGTATAAAAGAATGTTGAACATTTACAATAACATTTTTTTCTTATCAATATTTTTAATTGCAATTTGTATTTTTTTTAATTCAAATAAACACCGAAAATATTCTGTGGAAATTTAAAATGTAATAGTACAAAGAGAATTGTAATTTTCAAGATGATATTTAATTTTATTGGGAATTCCTACATAATCACTTTTTGGTACTAAAAACAA